TTAACAGTGCCGATATTAAAATTCACTTTTTCGAACTAACTGTTAAATATTACTATAAACTTTTTTGATTATGAATACTGTATATGGGAATTTTAGAAATATTGAGAATTGATTTACAGAATTAACAGTGACTTTAGTGATTTACAATATTGTCCATGAATAGCCGCACTTTACTATAGTACAATTTTAAATTATGCTTCCAGTTTTATTGTTTTCTAATATAAAATATTTCTCCGTGTGAGAATATCCCAAATATGTCCAGAGAATGTACCAAACATATGTCGAAAATGTCCAAAGAATGTACTAAAAAGTTCCAAAATCTTTGATAACCGAAATGAATATTACATTGAAATTATGTGTACTTCATAGCCTATAACGCGCGCGTAATGTAAAGAGTCTTAAACGACCGCGACCTTCTACACCGTAGTGCTCTTGAAGATTGTAATGATCTGATTTTTGAGCCAAAGGATTTGCTCGCCGGATGAGTCCGGGTCTTAAATTTTAGGAACTCTTGAGTTCTTTGCTCTCTTATAAAAAGTATAAAATAGTATTATCGTGATATGCAGGTAGGTAAAGTCAGTAACGAAGCGATAATTTAAACCTTCGAAAGCAGTTTTATTTAAACAAATGTAAGAAAGAAACAATAAACAATAAAAGAAATAACAATAAAAATAATGACTAAAAAATATGGCTGCTTGATTAACTCTCATAAAAAAAATATATAAAAATACAAAAATAGAAAATCCTAAACTAACTAAATTAACAATAGTAAAAAAATAAATGTAAAACTAACTAACTAGCTTAAATCTAAATGAAAGAAGTGGAAGAGAATAAAGAATGTAGAGAGAAGTGAGATGAAGAAGAATTTAGAAAAGGTGAGGGAATAAAGGAAAGAGAGAGAAAAGAAGCGAGACGGTACGCCGCTATGGTGCTGCGTCGAGCTGCATTTGATCCGCCGCAATACTGTAAAAAGACAATATTTAGTTCTCGCCATTTGTAATTTTCCCGGGGTGAAATGCTCAATAATAAATTCCGCGAGGGAGGTTCTAGAATACGCCCCTAGCTACGAGACGAGCGAAAACTAGGTTTCGTGCACGACTAGAGATTTCTTAATCAGGATTTCTAGATGCCGTTTCCGTACGACAATCATGCTCTACGCGAAGCTAGTGCGGAAGGAGAGAGAGGGGGAAAGATACAGGTTACTCTTCCCTCAAGATGTACCTTGAGTCGAAGAGTAATACCTGGTGCATCAACTCGGTGAAGAGCGAGATGTACCTCGTCTTCACAGGGTAAGTTCTCCAGGAAATGGCGGGTCAGGATCGCGTCAGCCTTCCACGGATGTACCCCTGGTCAGACCTTGCGCGGCAGGTAAGAAAAGATGGAGGGCGAAGGGAGTTACTCTTGTACCAAGGTACCTGAGTACTACTCCTTCTGCAGGAATACATCCACCAGGTCGGCCCCAGATGTACCTGAGATACCGTCCTCGAGGATGAGGTAGGCAGGGCTAGCAGCACAGATGTACCTGTGGTCCGCCTGCCCTGGGGAGGATGATCTCATTCCTCGGGAGAGACGTACCTCACCCTCGGCGATAGATAAGAAAGGAAGAGAATCGGAGGAAAGGAGAGAGCTGCTGTCGTCCAGCCTCGAGATGTGCCTCGAGTCCGGTCGACGGCGAACTGAGGAAATTGTACGTGCAAGCAAGTATATACCGCTTGACGTTTCTACTGGGAGCTATGGCGCGAGTGAGAGAGACCACGTGCTGCGCGGCAAAGTATGCGCGCTCGGTACTCTCCTCCTGGCTGTCGAGCTGAGAGCTCAACCGTATAGATATATATATTCATGCATTGAAATAATATGAAATAATAAGCTGATAAAATACTTTCGATTCAAATTAATATTTTAAATACAATGCTTTCGTTACAAGATGCAAATGGACAAAAAAAGTATATCGCAATTACTGGTCATATTTAGTGATCCTTATGAGATAAGTTACCAAATAAGGATGATGTTCCGAGTTCTAATCCACTCACAGAAATTGTATAGAACGTCTTTACCTAATCCATTTGACGTCTATAGGTTCCTTTTTCAGGATACTTTCGTAATATCCATGGAATATCTTTAGAACTTTTTCTTTAAATTGTAACAAAAAACGTTCCGAGAAGGATGTCCTTGGGACATCTCAACACAGATAGCACGTAAGCTTGCAGCAACCTTGCGACAAGCCTGTTGCGCAATATTGACAACCTTGCACGGCAAACTTGCCGCAAGCTTCAAATGTCTCACATGACCAAAAGCTTGCAATGCAAGATTACTGCAAGATTGCACAATAAGATTATCGCAAGATTCCTCAGTAAACTTTCACGATAAGCTTGCAGCAAGATTGGTGCAATGTTGACAAATAACATTGCTTTAAACGTAAAAATTTTTTTGTTAAATGTTTCGTTTAATTTATAAAATAAAATTATATAAATTAGAAGAAACATTTGAAAGAAAATTTTTAGATTAAAAACGAGGTTATTTGGCAACCTTGCACCAACCTTGCTTACCGTGCAAGCTTTTTGAGCAATCTTGCGATAATCTTATTGTGCAATCTTGTACCTTACACTGCAAACTTTCGGTAATCTTACCATGCAAGCCTTCGGTCAGGCGGAACATTTGAAGCTTGCTGCAAGTTTTCCGTGCAAGGTTTGAAATATTGCATTTCAAGCTTGCCGCAAGCTTACGTTCTATCTGGAAGTGGATGTCCGTGCCCATGGGGAGCTACCATTTTTGAAAATGATTAAAATCGCTTGGCATCTGGTACCGTAGGGTTTTCGGTGTCGCTGATTACGAATATGATATCCGATTGTCATAATTCAAAACAAAGTATTTTATATGGTGAAAGAAAAAATCGATCGGATAGGTATGAAATTTTTTACTTAGTGGTTTTTAGGGTCGCTTATTACGAATTTGAAGTCATATTTTAAAAACTCAAATTAATGGTTCCAATATGGTGACAAACATTTTCTTCATTGGAAATCGCTCGAAAATTATTATTCGCGGGTTTTTGGGTTCCTAAATCCAAATTTTAGGTCATATTTTAATTTTTCAAAATGTCGGATGGAATATGGCGATAAAAAATTTAAAATTTGATTGAATTCGTTTGATATATAACATAAATCACAGAGTAATTTACTTAAAAAGATTAGGGAAAATGAATTTAATTTTTTTTAACCTGCACGTAATTAGGCCTTATCTTTTTTTTTTACTCAATCCGTATTCATCCTTTCGCATGGACTTCGGTAAAAGCCTGCCAGAGAACGGCTTAATCTTTATTACAGTTTTAAATTTGACTTCTGACATGCATTTAGTGATACAGACTATAGCATGATTTTAATGTTGCGGTGCAAGTAATTATTATTCTGTGAACATTTTGACTAATAAAGATTTATATATCTACTATATTTTTAATAATTTTGCAGAAGAGTTAAAGGTCATGTTCTTTATTTTTTGAAATTTTTTAAATATTTTAAGAATTTTTTTATGTCAAAAACATTGATGTTTAATAAAATAAGAATTAAAAAATATCAATTTTTAAAATAATCTATTTATAAATTAATGTTGATTTTCAGTATTTAAATATATGTAATATTTATAATATATGTAACATATTTTTAAAATTTTAAAAAAAGAAGTTGTAATCAAGTGAAAAGAAATGTCAAGAAATTTGGAATGCAAATATCTTGAAAAATGATAAAAATATCTAATTCATAATTGGTACAGTTTTTTAAGACTTATATACAAAAAATAAGAAAAATCTAAGACATGACCTTTAACTCTTCTGCAAAATTATTAGTTCTAACCATTACGGACGAAGGGGTAGGCTACAGAATGGGGGGAACGGACGGGACGAAATTTCGTCGCCAGGCAGGTATACGGGGACGAGTAGGCAGTGAATCGTGATCTGCCCGTTGGAGTGAATGGGGAGAAAAGGTATTGGAGCTTAATTTACAATATTTAACCTCAAATCACCTGCAAGAGGTTCTGAGTATTGCCAAGCTTTTATCTTGACAATTGGAAGCAAGATAATTCAAGTTATCGCTCAATGCATAAAAATTTGAAAATCAAAGTCAAACTGTTTCAGTATTTTGTCTCGCATTTTAAAGAAAACAGACTTAAAAATCATACAAAAATTGTTTCTAAATCCTTATGACTCTTATAATAATTATACTTGAATTTTTGATTTTAATCAATTTGGTTAATAATAACAAGCTGTCCCCATTTACCCTGAGTTTTCAAATTTTTGGGGTAAATGAGGACAGCTTGTTATTATTAACCAAATTGACAAAAATCAAAAATTCAAGTGAATTTCTGTTATGGGAGTCATAAGGAATAAGAAAAAATTTGATATGATTTTTAATTTTTTTTTTTTCAAATGCGAGATAAATTCCTGAAAAAAATAAAAAAATTTCAATTGCTTCAACTATTATATATCTACTACAAATTTTTTTCAAGTTTTTTCATCTCTTAATACAGTAATATACTTATGGAAACTTTTTTCTTAAACCTTTCTCAGAAACTATGCTGTCCCGATTTATCTCAAATTTAATGAAATTTTCTAAATCTTGGGGTAAATGGGGTCAGTCAGTTTCATGCGTTTAAAGTTTATCTAAATTTTTTTCTGCTGCATAAAATTAATGCATAAAATTCTGTTCTTCTGGTTCCTGTATTTTTTTAAATTATTACATATGGTCACAATATTGCTTCAATATTGTATGGCAATATTGGGAATATTGAGATAACATTGTTTATGCCCGCTTGCCAATATTGCTCTAGTATTGCCTAGTAATATTAATTAAATATTGCTAGGCAATGCTTCCTGAATATTACCTGGCAATATTGCCATTAAATAAAACTGCTGTCTTTTCTTCTTTCCAGGGAATAAAATAATATCTTTTACTTATATAATTTACGGTTAATGAATAGGTATAGAATTTTTATCTTTTTTGTGTTTTGTGCAGAAAACTATCGTCTTGACTCGGAGTATGAAAATCATCTGATCTACAAAGTCGCACTGGTAAAAATGAATTTTATCTTTAACTAAAAACTATATAGGCTTTGCTTTATATGCAGCACTTACGCAAGTGTGATTGAGTTTATATATCACAATCTTATCTCAAGTTTATTTGAGATAGTTCACACATCTTAAGTTTTTATCAAGAAGTTTCATTTTTCATACTAAAACTTTAGGTACAATGAATTGCAGTATAACATCTCTGTACGATCAGCCGGCATAATTTTGTGAGAAAAACGCAATTTTTCTGTTTTCTTTTTCGTAAAAAATTCAAATTTGATAAAAAATTTTATGATGTAGGTAGTTAACTAAAAACGAGTAACTTGAGTATTTTAGTAATTGAAATAGAGGTAAGGCCCTGTTCAAAATAAAACCAACAATAAGTGTAAGTTTCATGAACTTTTTTATAATCATTTTATTTTATTTTGAAAGCTCTTGAAACATAAAATTTGTAGTTGATAAATGATTCATAAGACACTATTCAGTGTTTGCACGATGATGTGACAGCACTGATTTCACAAACTAACTCGTTTCATAAAATGTACATAAAATTATCTTTTAACACACATCTATATGTTCAAAAGACAATAAATAACAAATGGAAATGAAATTTTGAAATAATATACAATAAGTGTATCTCTTGATTTAAAATTTACTATTTCGAAAATTTTAGATTGATGTGATAGATTTTCCCAAAAACAGTATTATAATCTTGGTAGTTACATGCTAGTGCTCATAAATGCTCTGAAAAGAATTATTATTTTTTTATTCTTTAAAGGATGTAAAATGTCTGCTTAATACTTAGAGAGAATTAAAACTAAAAGAAATATGCCGAGAACCACCTGCTTCAGGATTCTTTTGGGTTTTAAAATATATATTTTACAACTGTCAAAGATTTTAGAATGTTTATAATACAAGGTAACTGAAGATTATAATTAACGTCTAAAATACAAAATTTTGTACACTTGAACAAAGAAAATTTTAAGAACTTAATAGTTTTTTTATAATTGACTTCTTAATTAGATTAAAAAACACTAACAAATTGTATTCTTTACTCAGAAATACGACTTTTCTCGATCGCAAATATCTCTATCCTTGAATTGTTAGCAAAATTGTTTAAATCATCTACCATCTAAACGTTTATAAACATAAAATGTTCAAAAAGTAATTAGTCTACAACTGACGTTGATTTAAAAGACAATGACAAAAATAAGTATGTCAACGGGATAATTGACATTATTTACTTACAAATAGTGTAAATAAGTTTATAATTTAACGAAGGAAAAAGTTGAATTATTGAGAATATAATTTATTCTCATATAAGTTATTTTAAAATGCACTAGGACTTTTAATACTCGAATCTTTCTTCCTTGCATCAACTTGGTAAAAAGTGCAAGGAAATTCAGACAGAAAGAGATAGGGGGATCAAAAACAGTAGGGTAAAATCTTTAGCATGATAAGTTAAATGTCACATTCAAGACTTCGTTTTTTAGAACATAAATGACCTGGACAAAAAATAAATTTTATAATAATTATAATATCTGTGAAAGAAATTACTATCACATACGTAAATTATATATGTCCATGAGTTTTTGTACCTTCAAACGTAAAAATTACATGAAGGACAATCTCTGTTTCTTGCATATGAGACTTGAGTTCTGTAAGGATCAAAGGTTCTAGTGTATGATAAATTTCATCTACACTGAAAAAAAATAATTTTTTAAAAATAATCCGTTATTTGATTGAGGGTGTAGTCTTTTGTTCAGGCCTGTTTTGAAAGCCTATTTCAGGATTTTTTGATTACAAAATAAAATATGATCACAGCAACATCTTTTTATTACTTGGCTTCCTCAGAGGCAGACCTGAAGACTCCGCATGCTCCACTCCTTGCGATGTGGTTAGTTCTCACCTTTCTTGACTGACTCTGCTTAGCATAAGCAACAGCTTAAACTCTTTTAAAATCCACAACCTTATAATCGGTTTCTGTGTACCCAAAGCACACCTAACGATCATAATTCTTCTCTTAATAGGTTGAATAGATTTCTTCAAATACATGCGCTGCTTAGAGAAGTTAATTTAAATAATTACATTTGTAATTAATTTTTCTTATTTCGGTATGTATGGAACTTTTGAAATATACAAAATCGATTACTTCATCTTTAAATGCCAGACTACACCCTTAATATTAAAGAAATGTTTCTTTGTGTGAAATAATTATAACTTGAGTCAAATAAATGATATTTGTTCCAAATATAGAATTTACTGCATCGAATACAGTTAATTTAATAAAAAAATATTTTTGGTTCAAATAAATATTTGCTTGATAATAGTCAATTATTCGATTATTTGAATCAAATAACAATTATTTCATTGCATTTACTTTGTAGGTCTATTATTTTGACCTAGCGTACCTTTAGCTTACATTTCTCATGATTTGGTTTTGTAAGTACTACTTAGAAAATAGTAAAGCTTCTTAGGCTCTTTTTAACTTAAATTTTTTACATAATATGCTACAAAATATATTCATTTCAGTTTCAGTTCGTGAACTCCTTTCTGTCCTTATTCTACATCGCTTTTTATATACAAGATCAAGAAAAACTTAAAGAGGTAAGAATATTTAATTTTAAATCCTAGTCGAAAATCCAATGCTTCTTTGGAGCGTCCGATTAGCTTTCGGGAAATGTAAATTAAGCAAAAGGATTTTTATTAGTTAATGTTAGGAATTGGGAGGATTGGAAAATGATTATATAAAGTGTTTTCTCATAAAAAATGTTCACTATCAACTTAAAAGAAAGAAAGTCAATTTATTTTGAAGAAATATTATTTGCGACAGTATATAAAGAGCGTCAGACCCAAACTAAACTCTTACATTTGGTTATCAAAACTTTTCCTATGAATCACTATACATTCCTGCGTGTATATATATTTATACTAAAGTCAAAACCATATTATAATCGCACATGTTTTCTAACAGATAAAAAAAATGCGTCATTTGAAATGATAAACTTTTGACTATTGAGCGCACGGAAAACAAAACCTCAAATTACTCGAATGCCATAAAAAACATTGGAAGCATTAAGAAAGAGGAAAATCGTTCATAACATGAATCATGAAGCGTACGATTTTCGACTGGGATTATATAATTTGTTAATTTTTTAATTAGATATTGTTAAAGGATTTTACATTACATTTAACAGTTTATTCAAATATAAGATAAGAATTAAAAGGTGTTTACATAACAAGGCATTAATTTCGACTGACTGATAAGCAGGACGATATCGACACAATCCCTTCTATCTTCTTTTTATTAAATTCGCACAGACTCGTAATAAGTCACCGTTTTTCTTTCAATGATAGAGTTTTCTTTTAATTTAATATTCAAACTTTAACAGATATTATTTGTGATTTTGTCCAGTAAAATTCTCTTCCAAATCCAAAGCTAACTAGATAAAAGACCAATATTACTGAACAATATTTCTGTCTAAGTATATTCTTACATAAACTGCATAAGTCTTGTAGTTATAAAGTGTCTTTTATTTTAAATAAATTTTCATGTGTTAACATGTATTAATTTCAAAATATTCTACTGTAATATAATTTCGTTATTTATAATTTTTCAGCAATTGGCTGCTCTTTTAATAGCTCGACAAATTATTGGAAATTTAAAGGAATCTGCAATACCTTACTTGATAGAGCAATTACGTTTAGCTCGTATGAGTTTTAAGTTGTTTGGAGCTTTAAGTCCAACGGAAACTAAAGAAACTCTTGTAAAAGAAACAGAAGAACAACCAGAAATTTCTCTAAACAATGAGACAGACGAGAAAGAGAAGAAAGAACTTAAGAAAGGAAAACAACCTAGAAACGTTTGCCAAGCTGAACTGGAGAGTTCTCTCTACAGAGTAGGACACCCTACTAATACTCTTCTTAGTGACTTTGCTTTTAAGGTTTGATCTAGACTTAGCTAGTACTCTTTTGTTTTTATAAATTTATTGTTTCTTTCTTTTAGAGAAAGTTTTGTAGACCTTCAAATTTAAAAATTCTTTTAAATGCTTTACACCTTCTTCTATCTAGAAATGTGTTTTATGAGTCCCTGATCAAATATCTGCTGAGGTATGAATGTAACCTGCTTCTCCTTGAGGCTCAATGTACATAACATTGAAAATAATTAATATAAAAAACCTTGTAAATATGAACCTTACTCAATAAGCAAAAAAACACCTTTGTTCTAGAAACTTTTCAGAAATATTTTAGAACATTTCACGTCTGTAGAAACGTTTTTTGAATATAAGACGTTTTTAACGAATTATTTTAGCGGGCATGAAATATTATAAAATGTTTAGGAACGTATCTAAAGGAAAAATGTTTTCTTGCCTACTAGGGATAAAATAGACAAATGTAAAATTACATAGGAACACAAAAAAATGTTTTCACGGCAAATATAAATATCATTTACTGACGCATTTGATGATCTGAAAACGAAACTCAAGTTTTATTACCTTTATTCCACCGAAATTTATTTATAATTACAAAAAACATATTCAATCATACGTGATAAAAAAATTTCGTTTCACTACTTAATACAGAGCTTTATTTAAGATTGCAAAAACTTGTGTGTTAAATTTGTTCGAGTACGCAGGTTATTAAAGAGAAGTCAAGGAATTAATTAACTGAGAAAACTTTATTTAAGCACTACATTCTTTATTAAAAGTGATCAAAAAGGGGAACGCGATTGTAGTGTATAATCAACTTAGTGAACATTTTTGTGAACAGGGTTTATGTGTGTGTGAGTGTGAATAGAGGTGAAACAAAAGTGCCCTCTATAATTAAGAGTTTAAACTATGACGTCAGGGCGGGAATTGCAAATAATTAACACCCCCCCTCAATGTATACCCGAGAGAAAAAGTTCAAATTTTTATTCCAAGATCACAAACACATTTTTGATGTAATAACTGTGAAAGTCCCTTAGTAAGAACATCAGCTACCATTTCATTCGTCGGCAAATACTCGATTCGTATAAATCCATCAGATAACACTTTTCTAATAAAATGATGACGGATGTCAATTTGTTTGGTCCTGGAATGATGTATCGGGTTCTTAGCCAATCGTCCAGCACTTTGATTGTCATTATAAATGACAAGATTCGTCAAATTCTTGAATCCGAGTTCTTTCAGGAATCCAATCAAAAAGACACCCTCCTTCGCTTCATCTGACAATGACATGTACTCTGCCTCTGTCGAGGACAAAGCAACTGTTCTCTGTTTACGAGACTGTCAAGAGATTGGTCCTCCAGAGAGTTTGAAAATGTTACCGGTAAAAGAACGTCTGTCAAAGGAACAGTTCCCCCAATCGGCATCTGCAAATCCTTGCAAAGGTGAATCGTCCTTCTGGTAGATTAATTTGTAGTCGGAAGTCCCTTGAAGGTACCGTAGAACCCTTTTTGCAGCTTGCAAATGTTGACTGTCGTAAAACGAATTGAATTGTGATAAAACGCTGACAGCATGCGCGATGTCCGGACGTGTTCCTTGAGCAGCATACATAAGGGCTCCAACGATTTCTCGATAGGGCAAATTTGCATCTTCGGTCTTCTTTACATGATTTTCCTTTTGGCGATCCTTTGTAAGAATAAGAAAATCATCAACGTAAATTAGCATGAAAATCGTTCTTTCCTTGTCAACATAAATGCACAGGTAGGAATCAGTGGGGAATAAACCAATACTTCAAAGCACTCGATCCAATTCAGTATGCCACTGGCGGCCCGCCTGTCGAAGTCCAAATAAGGCCTTTTTGAGCTTACAGACAGCGTTCGGTTTGTCCACATCTCGAAGTAAAAGGCGTGCTCGTTCTTGAACGATGGGACCGTGTTCCTGATTTATCATCCTTGTCAGCATTTCTCGAAGTAGTTCCGGTTTCTCGAGATAAATATCCGCATCAACTTTGCCGTTGAGATACGCGGTTTCGATATCCAACTGAGTAATCCAAAAATTTTCATTTGCAGCTATGGCCATGAGTAAACGAAAAGATCCAAGACGCGCCACAGGTGAAAAAGTCTTAAAAAAATCGACACCAAACTGTTGAGTAAATCTCTCAGCGACTATTCGGGTCTTTCTGCGAATCACGTTTCCATCAGCATCGAATTTGTTGCATAGAACTGTACGGCACTTGGTGACCTTGGCATCGGGAGGTTTTGACACAATATCAACCAACCAAGAAATTCTTCGTCACTCGAACTTGAATGATAGTCAGTTTCATTTGGATCATCATGCGGAGGTTCCACTGGATTATTTTGTTTTTCCACGGGAATGAGATTGTATTTCCTTTTAGGGCGGCCCCGTGCTCCAGTCAGCTCTTTACCAGGGCGACCAGGTTCTCTCCGAAATTGATTTTCAGCGTTGTTTTGAATTGTCAAAGGGTCAACTTGAATTTCCGGAGTTCGGGGCTCTTCATCGTTGATAGCAGCATTTTGAATCGTTTGTTCATCCTGTGCGACTTGAGGAGGTGCAAGAAACTCGAAATTGATATACTTGTTGGGACTCGTATCACTGGAATCGGAAACTTGAGAAAAATCGGAATTTTTCTTATCAGTAGGTTCTCAAGTCAAACAATTTGGATCGGTTTCGTTAACGAATTTTACATCGCGGGTGACATTATTTCTTTTCTCTGAAGGTATCCAGATTATGTAAGCTTTGCAGGTTTCAGCGTATCCTACAAAGAGACCTTCGATGCCTCTTGGAGCAAACTTGTCCTTAGTTGGACATTTATCCAAAATAAAAACTTTCGAGCCGAATCTCTGAGGTGCTTGACATTTGGACGTCGACCAAACATAATCTCGAAAGGAGTTTTTGTACCTAGGACCATTGTCACACACCGATTGCGAACATGATTTGATGATAAGAATGCTTCAGCCAAAAACGCGTGGGAAGTTTCGAATCTGCCAATAAACAACGAGCTGCTTCGAGAAGGGTCCTATTTTTTCTTTCGGAAACACCATTTTGCTAAGGTGTATATGTTGTTGACAGTCGGCGTTGGATTCCTGCTTTTCTCAAAATATCGTCCATTTTCGAGTTGCAATATTCGGTTCCATTATCACTTTGAAGACTTTTGATTTTCTTGCCAGTCTGATTTTCAATAAAATTTTTGTACTCAAGGAATTTGGAAGGAACTTCAGATTTATTTTTTAACAAATAGATTTCAGTCCAGCGGCTGTGATCGTCTGTAAACGTCAAAATGTATCGAGCTCCACCGAAGAATTCTTGCCTCATTGGTCCGCAGAGGTCAGAATGTATTATTCCAAGTATTTCTGGTGACCTTTCCAAACGTTTCGGGAAGGACAATCTGGTTAACTTCGCGATTGAGCACTCGTCACACGGAGGAAGTTTTTCTCCCAATTTAAACGTTAAACCGTCAACAGATTTATTACGCAACATAGTCGACATGTCCTTGAAATTTAAATGTCCAAGGCGCTGATGCCGAATCATTGTGTTGCACGACGCGGAACTAGTAGAAATGCACGCGGTATTATCCGATTCACGAAGAAAGAATAAATCCCCTTGACGATCAGGGATCATTTTTGTTACACCGTTCGCGTCCTTAACACTGGCGTGTATTTTCGAAAATGTGACTTGATGATTTTTATCCACAATCTTGGCAATCGACACTAAATTCGTACGCAGATCCGGCACGTGAAGTGTATTTTGAAGCGTAATAACACTATCACTTTTTCCGTCAGAAGTAATAATATTTACATCACCTTTAGCAATGACAGGGGCGGTTGCATCACTTGCTAATCGCACACTAGAATTTACATAGCACAATTTTGACAACAATCTTAAATCGTTACACAAATGTGTTGTGCATTCACTGTCGAGGCACCATTTTTGTTTATAAGTCACATTATACGCGAAACCAGAGGCAGAATTAATTTCGCCCGAAAGAAAAACATTATTCACGTCGTTTGAATCTCGATTTTTATTTTTAAAACATTTCTTTGCAGTGTGCCCCGGTTTGTTACAGTATCCGCACTGTACATTGTTTTTGTTTGAATTCGGGTTTTCACTTTTTGAACTGTCACTTTGATTCAATGATTTATTTTTTCCTGGAAATCGATGTTTAGAAAACATGGCACTAGTATTGGAATCACTTTTATGAGCTTTACTCTCACTTTCTTCGACAATTTTAATTATCAAAGTATCAACATCGGGTAATTTATCGCGTGATTTAATGGCACAGCTAAAATTGTCAAAATTACGTGGCAAACTATGAAGCAACATAATTGAAAGTAAATCGCCGTTAATTTCGATTTCCATACTGCCGTGCTGATGAAGAAAGTCCGTACTTGCATTTAGAGTGTTTTCGAGATATTTAAAGAAACGCGTTTTTAACTAGCATAATTAATATATAAAAGTTATTAAAATAATTACAACAGTACTTAACTAATTTTGGCATGCTCTATTTAATGGCGCAAAAAAAATTTCAAAATTTTCATTTTTTATAAACAAAATGTCGATTACTGCCAAAAATTAATTTTGAAATCCTGAAAATACTGCCACAGAGTCCGTAAGTGCTCCTACGGCTCGATGACGTCACGACCATAGAGTCCGTACTTGCAGCCTATTACGTATATTCTATCTTGTGACTATGGAAAAAAGTATTAGGCTTTTATATTTTTTATAATTTTTGTTTGTTGTTATTTAAAAAAGTACAGAAGTGTAATAAATAATAATTTACAAATAAATTAATAATAGTTTTTCTTTAATTTCTTAATTATTATTAATTTATTGAACTGAAAGAAATTCAGAAAATATTAGACAAAATAAAATTCAATTGTCACTGAAATATAATATTTAATTATAAACAAATATATTATTGTCAGTCATTTTGTTGAATTTATTAAATTATTTTAAATGATGTTGATTTTTTATTTTAATAATGGTTGTTTATAGTTGTT